TAAAATGTGATAGGTAGGTTTGCGGATGTTTATGCAGCTGTTATGTACGCGAACGTAATGCACAATATGCTAGAACGAAGATATAAATGAATAACCGATGATGTGGTACACCGGTATATTAGGTATAGTACCGATCAATTTTCGTTTACAGCATAAGAAAGAAAAAGAAAACGATGTTACCAAGATATACATATATTTTTCGTTAAATCATCCTGTAAATCGGTCTACGAGAACGTCGATTTGCATAAACATCCACAGTTTAGTGACGCCGGAATCGTTTTCGTTTGACGCTTTAAAAATCAAAAAGATTATGTAATCTTGATCTACGACGTTTGAAAGTTGGTAAAATAATCGAAAGGTTAACACGAATACTATGATGGTTATTATCAAATTATAGTTTATAATAGGAATGGCGAAGTTTCAAAAAACGACACACTGTGTAGCCATGAAACCGTTGAAAACGGACCTCTAAATGTAGGGAATAAAAAGCGTGGTATTCATTTCGCAACAAGCCAACTCGCGGTTCTTTCAAATTTCCCGGTCGCGTGGTCTTCCTCGACGCGGGAAATGGCGAAATCTCGCGAAACGTTGAGAACGAGTTCTAAATGCTGTCCATTTAAACGAGCTGAACTTAAGGCGAGCGAATGAGCAACGTTTTTGTAAATTGTGTGATACGTGATTTAAATAAAAACACGATATGGTACGTTTTGTGTAACATTGGTACGTTGTTGTAAATAATAAATAGATCGTATGTTGTAAAATCGATAGTTTCTAATCCTTTTATCTTGAACTTATACATTTCTGAATACTTATTACAATATACAGGGTGTCCCACAATTATTTTAACAGCCGAAAATGAGGGGTAACTGAGGTCATTTGAAGTAACTTTTTCCTTTGCGAAAATGCAATCCGCGGCTTTGTTTACGAGTTATTAACGAAAAACACTGATCAATGAGAGGTGACGGCGCGAAGTTCGAGAGCCCGCAGCACGAGGCTTTGACAGATGGTCGGGACGGACTCGAGCCACGTTCGAAGTATTGAACAAATCACGAAGCGAGAACTTTCCGGATTTTTTTTTACTACGTGACAGTGATATTTTGAAGAAAAACGCTGTTCACCTTTACTTTAGAATGTCTGAAAAATATTTACTAATTTTTCGGACCCGAAATAATAAGTAATTTAACCGTGACGGCCGTTTTAATTTTCTAGTGTGCATGACACCTCGTGTGTA